CCTGCAGAACAGGGGGACCCCGCTGGACGCCGCGAGGCACAGCAGATGAACGGTGCCGCCCGTCCCCTCCTCCCCCATTTAGGACTCCCACCGCGGTCCCCCACGTGGGGACTGTCAGTGCCGGTCTTGGAGCATGCCGGTAATCACAGTAACTCGGCCTGTGGTCCGGAGCCGCCAGAGGGCGAGATGGGGAGCTGATTGGAAGAGGATTAATTTCCCGCCTTCTTCACCCAACTCAAACAGACCCTCAAACCCTATTCAGGCACCTCCCCCAAGCCCATTAGGTTCTCTTCCGCCCCGGCCGGAAGTCATGGTACCCCTAACAAAGATGGCGGCTAATTGAATTGGCAAACCTTTCTTGTCTCTCGGAGGAGGTAAGGAGAACCCAGAGGCCGGATTGAAGATGATGACTGCGCCAAGGCCTTGCCTAGCCACCATCCTGTAGGCTTTGATGATTTACACTCTAAACGGGAAAAACAGTTGTGCCCCCATCAAAGATTGCGACGGTCCCAAAGCGTTGCCTAGCAACCACATTCCCTCTAGGTTATAGTAGTAAACAACGTGCCCTACTCAAAGGTGGCGACCGTGGCTGGGCGTTGCCAAGCAACCACCATTCAGCCAGATTTCCATTCCAAAGCTGTAAACAGCTGTGCCCTGCTCAAAGATGGTGGCACGTCGAAGTCCGAGCACCCTCCTTGGGGCGAAATCGAGAAAAACACCGTCTCCCCCCAACATTCGAGGGTGGTTGAGTCCAGCGATCGTTGCCTAGTAACCACCAAAAAAAAAAAAAAAAGGGTTGTTTTTATTATTGGAAAAAAGAAAACAAGGAAATCCTTTGTTGTCCAGAATAATAAAAATAACATCATTTCTGTAATGAATTTATATATGGTAGCATACTATGTAAAATGTGAAAATATCCCTTCCCTAATTTTTTCCTAAAATACAGTTAAACGTAGAATATTCATACATTTTCACAAATATGATCAATATACTAACATTTCCACACTTTCTTTTCCCCCATGTTTATAAGTCTATTTCATCTTAATAATGTATTTTTATAATCTATTTTGTGGATGTAACAAATTGATTTGACCAATTACGTATTGAACTTCTCCAGACTAGCCAACTAGTACTGGACAGCATTTTACTGACTTTTTAAAATGCCCTTATGAATATTTTTATTATTTTATACAGGCAGTATTTACTTGTAATAATAAATGTATTTATGATTCATTTTGCCCTTCCTCTTCCTTTTTGCAGATCAGCCCATCTTTCTAGCATAATTTTTAATCTTCCTGGTTCCTAAAGTACATCCTTTCCTTTCTTTTTTTTTTTTTTTTTTTTTTTTTTGGGAGATGGGACAGGGTCTTGCTCTGTCGCCCAGGCTGGAGTGCAGTGGAGTCATCTCAGCTCATTGCAACCTCTGCCTCCCGGGTTCAAGCGATTCTCCAGCCTCAGTCACCTGAGTAGCTGGGATTACAGGTGTGCCCCACCACATCGGGTTAATTTTTGTATTTTTTGTAGAGACTGGGTGTCAGTCACTATGTTGCCCAGGCTGGTCTCGAACTCCTGGGTTCAAGTGATCCACCCACCTCTGCCTCTCCAAGTGCTGGGACTTCAGGCGGGAGCCACCAAGCCTGGCCTAGGTACCATTTTAATTTTCCTTCATGTCTATCGATATATTTTTTTTCCTTTTTCTGGATTACTTTTATCTTCCTTATAACTATTAAAATTTTAGTCACACAGGCATAAAAAAGGAGGGAGCTGCTCTAGATGAAAAGAAACTTGAGACATAATGTCTAAATATGTGTGTGGTCTTTGTTTGGATGATGATACAAATAAACCAACTGTAAAAACATATTTTGAGACAATTGGAACATTTGATTACACGCTTACTGTTAGATGATACTAAGAAGTTAATTTTGTTACAGGTAACAATGGCATACCAGTAATGTAAGAAAGTGTTCATAAAATTGGGAAAGATGCCTGCCAAGCACACAGGAGTAAAATGATATGATTGTAGGGATTTGCTTTAAAAGGCTTCAGCAAATGCTTCCGCAGGCTCACCGCCTGTAATTCGGGCACTCTGGGAGCCCGAAGTGGGTGGATCACCGGAGGACAGGAGTTTGAGACCAGCCTGGCCAACATGGTAAAACCCTGTCTTCATCAAAAAATACAAATATTTGCCGGCAAGGTGGCACACGCCTGCAGTCCCAGCTACTCTGGAGGCTGAGGCAGGAGCATCCGTGGAACCAGGGAGGCGGAGGCTGCAGCGAGCCGACATTGCGCTACTGCACTCTAGCCTGGGCGAGCGAGATTTTGTTAAAAAAAAAAAAAAAAAAGAAACCCAATTCAAAATAATTTAAAATGATAAAGGTAAAAAGCTATATAATTGGACTTTCTGTAAGCACTTTCAATCGGTGGAGATTATGGTTTTTATTTTATTTTTATTTTTTTCACACAGTCTCTCGCTCCTGTGGTCCAGGATGGAGTTCAGTGGTGTGATCTGGGCTCACTGCAAGCTCCGCCTCCCGGGTTCACGCCATTCTCCTGCCTCAGCCTCCAGAGTAGCTGGGACTACAGGAACTCGCCAACACTCCCGGCTAATTTTTTTTTTTTTTGTATGTTTAGTAGAGATGGGGTTTCACCGTGTTAGCCAGGATGGTCTCGATCTCCTGACCTCGTGATCTGCCCGCCTCGGCTTCCCAAAGTATTGGGATTACAGGCGTGAGCCACTGCGCCCGGCCTGTTTTTTTTTTTTTTTTTTCTTAATTTTTATTTATGTTTTTTGAGACAGAGTCTGGCTCTGTCACCCAGGCTGGAGTGCAGTGGCGTGATCTCGGCTCACTGCAACCTCTGCCTCCTGGGTCCCGGGTTCTAGGCGATTCTCCTTGCCTCAGCCTCCTGAGTAGCTGGGATTACAGGCACGCACCACTATGCCCGGTGATACTGACCTTGTGATCCGCCCGCCTCTGCCTCCCAAAGTGCTGGAATTACAGGCGTGAGCCACCTCGCCCTGCTGAAGATTATGTTTTTAAATATTTATTGGCCATTCAAAATTGTGTGTGTGTGTGTGTGTGTGTGTGTGCGTGCGTGAAACTAGTCAGGTTTCTTTTTATTTGTTTGTTTTTGAGAGGGAGTCTAATTCTGCCACCCAGGCTGGAGTGCAGTGGCACAATCTCAGTTTACTGCAACCTCCGCCTCCCAGGTTCAAGCGATTCTGCTGCCTCAGCCTCCCAGGTAGCTGGGATTACAGACGCCCACCACAACGGCTAATTTTTGTATTTTTAGTAGCTGGAGTTTCACCATGTTGGCCAGGCTGGTCTTGAACTCGTGACCTCAGGTGATCTACCCACCTCGGCCTTCCAAAGTGCTGGGATTACAGGCATGAGCCACGGTATCCGGTTCTGGTCAGGTTTCTTTCTATTAAAGTAAATATAAAGTGGCAGGGCACAGTGGCTAACACCTGGGATTGCTTCAGCCCAGGAGTTTGAGACATGCCAGGGCAACGTAGTGAGACCCCATCTCTACAAAAAATTTAAAAATTAGACCGGGCGTGGTGACTCATGCCTGTAATCCCAGCACTTTGGGAGGCTGAGGCCGGCGGATCACGAGGTCAGGAGATCAAGACCATCCTGGCTAACACGGTGAAACGCCATCTCTACTAAAAATACAAAAATAAAAAACAAGCCAGGCGTGGTGGTGGGTGCCTGTAGTCCCAGGTACACGGGAGGCTGAGGCAGGAGAATGGCGTGAACCCGGGAGGCGTAGCTTGCAGTGAGCCGAGATTGCGCCACTGCATTCCAGCCTGGGAGATAGAGCGATACAACGTCTCAAAAAAAAAAAAAAATTAAAAATTAAAAATTAGCTGGGAGTGGTGGTGCGCGGCTGTGGTCCCAGCTGCTCTACAGGCAGAAGAGTGGCTCCAGTGCGAGCAGTAGAGGCTGCCGTGAGCCAAGATTGGGCCACTGCACTCCAACCTGCACAACAGAAAGAGACCCTGTCTCAAAAAATAAAAATTAAAATTAAAAAGATAATAGTAATTCAGTGTTTCTATTTTTCTATATTATTCATCAATAAGATTTGTGTAGCACATTTCTGTCAACAAACACGTTAGATTTTCCCAGTTGGTAGTGTATTTTTCAACTTGGTTTATGCAGTCTTTTGGGAAAGATTAATAAAGACTACGTTTTCTGACTTTGCTGTAGTGCTAAGAAACTCCTTGGCAGTCATTAAGATTTTTTCCTTCAGATAGTTTTCGAGTTTCATTTGTTGCACTTACATTTTTAATCTACCTGGAATGTATTTATGTTCTAGGCCAGTTTCTGGCTCCTCTCCCGGAAAACAACGCTCAGGTGTTGCTAAGCAACCCACACTGGGGTTGGTGTTCGGCTTCTTTTCAGGGGGAAAACAACTGCCCTCCCTTCCAAGTTGAGGACGACCTTAAAGCGTTGCCTAGTAACCTCGTTTCCGCCGATGTGATTGGATCCTTCTCGCCTCCCTCCCCCCAGTCCGCGCGCCCGAAAGAACAGAATCAGAAACTTAATCTAAAGGTTAGAAAACAAGGGCAGAGGTCCCGGCGCTGTGGCTCAGGACTGTAATCTTAGCACTTTGGGAATCCAAGGCGGGCGAATCACTTGAGGTCAGGAGTTCGAGAACAGCCTGGCCCACATGGTGAAACCCTTTCTCTACTAAAAATACAAAAATTAGCGGAGCCTGGTGGCGGGCACCTGTAATCCCAGCTACTCAGAAGGCTGAGGCAGGAGAATCGCTTGAACCCGGGAGGCGGAGGTTGTAATGAGCCGAGATCGCGCCACTGCACTTCAGCCTGGGCGACAGGGCGAGACTCCCGTTTCGAAAACAAAAAACAAGAAAACAAAGGAAACAAAACACAAAAACGAAAACAAGGGCAGCGTACGCGTTGCATAGCAACCAGGTCTCCTGCCCCTCCCTTTGAGACAAGAGGCGGACCCAGACGCCCCGCTCAAAGATGGCGGCTGACTGAGCCGCTTTCAATTTATTTCGCTCTTGAGAATCCTGACAAGAATTCCGTCGAACCCATCAGGCCCCTAAAAGGGCTAACTATGCCCTTTCTGAGTCTTCCACGCGGTGGAGGCGAAGGAGGATGGAGCTAGAACGAAGCCTCAGCGCGTGCCCCGCACAAACATGGCCACATTCCCAGCGGCCCTAAACCGCCCGGCGCGGGTGCGCGCGCAGCGCAGGCGCATTTCCGCTCATTCCGCGGTGTCGGCTGCGGCGGCTGTGGCGGTGGCGGCTACCGCACGGGGTATGGTCCCCGGGTCCGAGGGCCCGGCCCGCGCCGGGGGCCTGGTGGCCGACGTGGTGTTTGTGATTGAGGGTACGGCCAACCTGGGACCCTACTTCGAGGGACTCCGCAAGCACTACCTGCTGCCGGCCATCGAGTGAGTGCCGTTTCCGCGGCTCTAACCCCGCCCTCCCATTTCAGTTTCCGCAGCTTCTTGCCTGACTCCGACCTTTCACCTCCGACCCTCACAGGTATTTTAATGGTGGTCCTCCTGCTGAGACGGACTTCGGGGGAGATGTGAGTCTTGGGACTCCTGGGTCTGAGGGAGGAGGGGCTGGGGGGCCTGGACTCCTGGGTCTGAGGGAGGAGCTGGGGATCTGGACTCCTGGGTCTGAGGGAGGAGGGGCCGGGGGCCTGGACTCCTGGGTCTGAGAGAGGAGGAGGGGCTGGGATCTGGACTCCTGGGTCTGAGGGAGGAGGAGGGGCTGGGATCTGGACTCCTGGGTCTGAGGGAGGAGGAGGGGCTGGGGTTTGGACTCCTGGGTCTGAGGGAGAACGGGCTGGGGTCTGGACTCCTGGGTCTGAGCGAGGAGGAGGGGCGTGGACTCCTGGGTCTGAGGGAGGAGGGGCTGGGGTCTGGACCCCTGAGTTTGAGGGAGGAGGAGCTGGGGACTTGTACTGGGTCTGAGGGGGGAGAGGCTGGGGGTCTGGATTCTTGGGTCTGAGAGAGAAGGGTCTGAGGGAGGAGGGGCTGGGGGCCTGGACTCCTGGGTCTGAGGGAGGAGGGGATGGGGCTGAGACTCCCGGGTCTGAGGAAGGAGGAAGCTGAGGAGTTCCTGGTTCTGGAGGAACAGGAAGCTGGGAGCCCTGATTCCTTCTCTGAGGGAAAAGAGAATTGAGGTCCTAGATTGAAAGTTTTTCTGTTCTCCCCTCCCAGTATGGAGGGACCCAGTACAGCCTCGTGGTGTTCAACACAGTGGACTGCGCTCCCGAGTCCTACGTACAATGTCACGCTCCGACCAGCAGTGCCTATGAGTTTGTCACCTGGCTCGATGGCATTAAGTGAGCTTTTCCCCCACTTAGGGTGGGTTGGGGTTCCTGTGAGGGGCCGTGAATGAGGGATGACTTGGGTTTGAGCTGCAGGAAACATCTCATACATGAAACGATTGAAAGGACTTTGAGGGTGATTGTGTTTTTGTCAGAAATCACTTTTGTGGCTTCTGTGTGCTCAGCAATGTTGCCAACCAGTTTAGAAGTAGGAAAAACTTCCCATTCAGGGAGGCCTGGCTGAGCTCCAGCAGCCACCTTGTACTTCCTGTGTGATTGTCCCCTTTCTGTTCTCTCTTTTTCCATCTACCCCTGTTCTCCTTTTCCAGATGGGTACTTTGTAGTCTCAGTGCAGGGGGATGGGTCAGAGCCAGGATAGATCCCTCTGTGGCTTGAATCAGACCTTTTTTTTTTTTTCTTTGAAACAGAGTCTTGCTCTGTCTCCCAGGCTGGAATACAGTGGCAGAGTCTTGGTTCACTGCAACCTGCATCTCCCGGGTTCAAGTGATTCTGCCTCAGCCTCCCAAGTAGCTGGGATTACAGGCACACGCCACTATGCCCAGCTAATTTTTTTTTTTTTTTTTTTTTTTTTGATTTTTAGTAGAAACGGGGTTTTGCTATGTTGGCCAGGCTGGTCTCGAACTCCTGACCTCACGTGATCTGCCTGCCTCAGCCTCCCAAAGTGCTGGGATTACGGGGGTGAGCCACTGTTGCGGGATTGAGGAGGATGGGAGAGAGCCTTCCGGTTAAAGCAGGAGAATCTTTCATTGAGTGCACTCAGGCCCAAGCAGACTCACGTCCAAAGACGGCCTGGAACAAAGACAGCACTTGACTTTTATACACACTTCACAAAAGGGGGTGGGCTAGCTTGAAGCAAACTTACAGTGGCGTGAAAGCAGGGATACAGAGGCAGGACAAAGACAGTTAATCAAATTGTTGTAACAGGTTTATAACTCAGGATTACACATAACCGTTGCTATGCAACCCAGATGTCCGTTATCTAGGTTTGCCTAGGCACGGGCTTATCCCATAACCTTCACTATGGTGCCATGACCTTCACTGTACTTCTTAGATAAAAGAGAATACTTGAAGTCATTAGTTACAGAGAACAGAAGTCTATAAACTCATTCCATAAAACAAAGGAAAATTTGTTTTTTCTTCTCCCTATGTTGAGGGAGTGCTGGGAGAGTCTCCAAGAGCACATTAGATAATATTATCAAGACTTTTCCTGGGTCTGGGCTGTGTCTGTTGCTGCCTCTCAGGCAAGTCAGCCTAATACAGTAAAACTTATTTCTGTTTCTTTTTAATTTTATTTTTCTTTAATTTCCTGCTTTAACACCACACCTGGCGCTGGATCAGATTTTGATAGTTGACATTGTAGACTCTGGAGTCAGGCAGTCTGGGGTCAAATCCTGGCTCTTCCACCACAGAACTAACTCTCAGACCCAGAAGTCCATGTCCCCCCTGTGCCTAGTATCTCATCTCTGAACTGGGGATGTGGATAGTACTTGTATTAGTATTTCGTTGTATTACTTATTCTTAGCTGCATAACAGATTACCACCAAACTAACGGCATCATACTGCAAACATTTATCTAATGCAGTTTCTGTGAGTCAGGGACACAGGAGTGGCTTAGCTGGATGATTCGACTGAGGGTCTCACAAGGCAAGAGTCAAGAGGTCGGCAGGATTGCAGCCATCCAGGCGGTTTGACTGGCAGTAGGGATTGGCTCCCAAGGTGGTGAGTCTGTGGCTGTTGGCCGCAAGACCTCTCCACGGGGCTGCTTAACTGTCTGACATGGCAACTGGCATTCCTCAGATTGAGTGACCCAATAGAGACAGCAAAGAGGAAGCCCCAGGCCTCTTTTTGAGGAAGGATTTCACTCTGTCACCCAGGCTGGAGTGCAGTGGCTCAGTCATGGCTCACTGCAGCCTCGACCTCCTGGGCTCAAGCTCAAGCGATCCTCCCACCTCAGCTTCCCAAGTAGCTGGAGTAGCAGGGACTGTAGCCAAATGCCAACACACCTGGCTGATTCGTTAAAAATTTTTTTGTAGGTCGGGCGTGGTGGCTCACGCCTGTAATCCCAGCATTTTGGGAGGCTGGGGCAGGTGGATCACCTGAGGTCAGGATTTCCAGACCAGCCTGACCAACATGGAGAAACCCCGTCTCTACTAAAAATACAAGCACTTCTCCTGCCTTGACCTCCTTAAGTACTGGAGTGCTGAGATTATAAGCCTTAGCCGGGCATGGAGGCGCATGCCTGTAATCCCAGCTACTCAGGAGGCTGAGGCAGGAGAATACCTTGAACCCGGGAGGTGGAGGTTGTGGTGGGCCGAGATCACACCATTGCACTCCAGCCTTAGCAACAAGAGTGAAACTCTGTCTTAAAATAAAAAAAATTAAAAAGAAATTTTTTTTTTTGTAGTGGCTGGGCATGGTGGCTCATGCCTGTAATCCCAGCACTTTGGGAGGACAAGGCGGGCAGATCACCTGAGGTCAGGAGTTCGAGACCAGCCTGGCCAACATGGTGAAACCCCGTCTTTACTAAAAATAAAAAAAATGGCCGAGCGTTGTGCCTCATGCCTGTAATCCCAGCACTTTGGGAGGCAGAGACGGGCAGATCATGAGGTCAGGAGGTCGAGATCATCCTGGCTAACAAGGTGAAACCTCCCGTTTACTAGAAATACAAAAAATTAGCTGGGCGTGGTGTTGGACACCTGCAGTCCCAGCTACTCAGGAGGCTGAGGCAGGAGAATGGCGTGAACCCGGGAGGCAGAGCTTGCAGTGAGCTGAGATCGCGCCTGGGTGACAGGGCAAGACTCCGTCTCAAAAAAAAACAAAAAGAACCACATACAAAAATTAGTTGGGTGTGGTGGCATGTACCTGTAATCCTAGCCACTCAGGAGGCTGAGGCAGGAGAATCACTTGAACCCAGGAGGTGGAGAGATCGTGCCACTGCGCTCCAGCTTGGGTGACTGAGTGAGACACTGTCTCAAAAAAATTGCTTTTGTAGAGTCGAGGTCCTGCAATGTTGCCCAGGCTGGTTTTGAACTCCTGGTCTCAAGTGATCCTCCACTTCAACATCCCTAAGTGCTAGGATTACAGGCATGAGCCGCTGCACCCAGAGGCCCCACTAGGCTCTTTGTAATCAAGTCTTGGAAGTTACATGTCATTATTCCTGTTACATTCTTTTTTTTTTTTTTTTTTTTTTTTTGGGGGGTGGTGTTTTTGTTTCTCCCCGGGTGGGGGGGGGGGGGGGGGTTCTCTCCCTGTGTCTTCCCTTCCTCTCTGGGCAAAACAGAAAAAGATGGAGTCTTGCTGTCGCCCAGGCTGGAGTGCAGTGGCTGGATCTCAGCTCACTGGAGTGCAGTGGCGCAAGCTCACTGCAAGCTCCGCCTCCCAGGTTCACGCCATTCTCCTGCCTCAGCCTCCCAAGTAGCTGGGACTACAGGCGCCCGCCACCGCACCCGGCTAATTTTTTCTATTTTTTTTTGTAGAGACGGGGTTTCACCATGGTCTCGATCTCCTGACCTTGTGATCCGCCCGCCTCGGCCTCCCAAAGTGCTGGGATTACAGGCGTGAGCCACCGCGCCCGGCCCACATTCTTTTTTTTAACCTGAGACAGGGTCTTGCTCTGTTGCCCAGGCTGGAGTGCAGTGGTGGGATCATAGCTTGCTGCAGCTTCAACCTCTTGGGCTCGAGTGATCCTCCCACCTCAGGCTAGGACTCCAGGTGGGCACCACCATGCATGACTGATTATTTTAATTCTTGTAGAGATGAAGTCTTGCTGTGTTGCTCAGACTGGTCTTGACCTCCTGACCTCAAGCGATCCTCCTGCCTTGACCTCCCTAAGTGCTGGAGTACTGAGATCACAGGCCTGAGCTGCGGTGGCAAGTCCGCTTCTGCTGTATTGCATTTAGTGTGCAGTGTAAGCCTGTCCCATTCAGTGTAGGAGGAGACTGCGCAGGGCGGGAATTACCAGAGGCTGAATTGCTGGGTGCTGTATTGGGGGCTGGGTACCACAGTCTCACAGAGATGTTTGGAGAATTAAGTTAGTTGATGACTGGTTAATACAGTTCCTGGCATGTATTAAGTGCTATGTAAGTGTTTGCTAGGATTTTGTGCCTCACTTTCCTGGTTTGCAAATGGATGATCGTAGTGTGTATCTCCCTGTTGTTAGAAGGATCACAGGAGCTAGGTTGTGTACTGTGTTTCACTTAGCGCCTGGTGTGCAGTCAGGGTTCATTAAACAACACCTGTTCGTAGTAGCTGCCGTTACCTCTATACGCTTCTGGAGCAGGTGTTTGTTGAGCATCTGCTTTGTTCCAGGATGTGTGTACAAGTGCTGAGTGCAGGATGTATAGTGAAAAGGTGACACAGAAGCTTTCCCTTTGTGATAGCTGGAATTTGTAGGTGACATAGAGCAGAGTTTCTCATCCTTGGCCTTAGTGACCCTGTGGACACAATCATTTCTTGTAGTGGGGGCTGTCCTGGGTATTGTAGGATGTTTAACAGCAACCTTGGCCTCTACTCACTAGATACCAGTAGCCCCTCCCAAAGGTGTGACAACCAAAAATGTCTCCAGGCATTATAAAATATGCCCTGCCGCATGGCCCTGCCAGGCCTCCATTGCGCTGAGTACTCAGCAAATGGGTCCTAGGCCTTGTGTGACCTGGGGCTCAGACACCTTGGTGTCTCTCATGGAGGACTGCACACGGTGTGGAGATAAGCTTGACAGCTGCAGTATCAGGTGATCTATGATGTGATTAAGGGCAGGCCCTAAAATTAGGTGGCACGTAGGGAAGGCTTCCTACAGGAGGGCACACCAGGATGGGTGTCGTAGCTTCACCGGATTCACGCCTGTAGTTCCAGCTACTCAGGAGGCTGAGGCAGGAGAATGGCATGAACCTGGGAGGCGGAGCTTGCAGTGAGCCGAGATCGCGCCACTGCACTCCAGCCTGGGTGACAGAGCAAGACTCCGTCTCAAAAAAACAAAAAAACGCACACAACAAGTGTCCCCTGTCCTGTCTGGTACTGATGCTGTGCTAGCACCAGGGATCGGGTAGGGAACTCAGCGGTGTCCCTGTCATCCCAAGGTGCATACTCCAGGATAGGGTGGGGGACAGCATGGGAGCAGGCTCTTCAAGCATGGCCTGGGGGCAGGGATGATGGCAACCCTGGGGGCTGACCGCTCTGCCCCTACAGGTTCATGGGCGGGGGTGGCGAGAGCTGCAGCCTCATCGCGGAAGGACTCAGCACAGCCTTGCAGCTGTTTGATGACTTCAAGAAGATGCGTGAGCAGATGTGAGTGCCCCGTCTGCCCAGGCTGGGTCAGTCTCTCTCTGCCTGGCCCGGAACCACTTTGCCTGTCGAGTGGCTCTACCTCTAGCCTCACCCTGTAGGGCATGGGCTCTGTGTCCCCAAGCACGCTGAGCCAGGAGGCTGCAGGTTTGTTCTTGGGGGAGGTCTGGGCAGTGCCGGGTCTCAGCGTCCCCATCAGGAAGCAGTGCCAACTGTGGGTGTCACTCCTGCGTGCCCTGCCTGCTGGGTGACAGAGAGCACATTCCAGAACCTTTCAGGGCCTCAGTGTTGTCAGCTGTAAATTATGGGCGTTGCTTCTGATTCCATATGAGGCGGAATATGTGCGCCTCCACTGGTGCTGGGTCTGGGTTCCTTCTCAGGGCCCCTGTTGCTGCCGACTCCATGTCTTCTCTCATTCCTGGTAGTGGCCAGACGCACCGGGTCTGCCTCCTCATCTGCAACTCGCCCCCATACCTGTTGCCTGCTGTTGAGAGCACCACGTACTCTGGATGCACAACTGAGAATCTCGTGCAGCAGATTGGGGAGGTGAAGACTCCAGGGTCTGAGGGAGGAGGGTCTGGGGGCCAGGATTCTTGGGTTTGAGGCAGGAGGCACTGAGGGCCTGGACTCCTGGGTCTGAGGGAGGAGGCACTGGGGGCCTGGACTCCTGGGTCTGAGGGAGGAGGCACTGGGGGCCTGGACTCTTGGGTCTGAGGGAGGAGGCACTGGGGGGCCTGGACTCTTGGGTCTGAGGGAGGAGGCACTGGGGGCCTGGACTCAGTCACAGAATAGTCACAGACTGGCAACCAGCTTTGCTTACTCTCTTTTTTTGAAACAGAGTCTGGCTCTGTTACCCAGGCTGGAGTGCAGTGGTGTGATCTTGGCTTACTGCAGCCTCTGCCTCCTGGGTTCAAGCAATTCTCGTGTTTCAGCCTCCCGAGTAGCTGGGATTATAGACGCCCGCCATCACGCCCAGCTAATTTTTGTATCTTTAGTAGAGACGAGGTTTCACCATGTTGGCCAGGCTGCTTTCGAACTCCTGGCCTCATGTGATCTGCCTGACTCGGTCTCACAAAATCCTGGGATTACAGACGTGAGCCTCCACACCTAGCCCACTTAGTGTTACTGACAAAACCAGAACGTCGAGTCTCCCGGGGCGGGCAATACCAGGTTTCAGGGTCTCCTGCCTCAAAGCCCAGTGGGAATTGTGGTTGTAGGACTAGTGCCGTCCAGCCACACAGCAGCTGTGGTAGGTTGGGGGCTGGCCCTAACACCCCTATGGAGGGGGCCCGTCATGACTGCTGGGTCCCTCTCCTATAGCGGGGGATCCACTTCTCCATCGTGTCTCCCCGGAAGCTGCCTGCACTTCGGCTTCTGTTTGAGAAGGCAGCCCCCCCGGCCTTGCTGGAGCCGCTGCAGCCTCCGACAGATGTGAGCCAGGACCCAAGGCACATGGTGCTGGTTCGGGGGCTCGTGCTGCCTGGTGAGGCCTGGGCACCGCGCGCGGGGATGGGGGGCTCGACGTGTTTCCCCAGCTCCCTCTGACTTGGATTTTGGATTTCTCTCCCCTCTCTCCATCTTGAATCCCTTCTTTCCGGGGTTGGCCATCCCTCCTGCTCTCAGTTGGGGGTGGCTCTGCCCCAGGCCCCCTCCAGCCAAAGCAGCCAGTCCCCCTGCCTCCTGCCGCACCCTCCGGTGCCACTCTCTCAGCAGCTCCCCAGCAGCCTCTGCCCCCCGTCCCCCCGCAGTACCAGGTATGGATGTTTCCAGGAAGGGACATGCTTCTGGGGACTTGCTGGAGCCCTGGCCCCTGGGGAGAGATCTAGTTGCATGTTGGAGCTTGTGGGATGATGGGAGTCCCATGGGACATTGGGAGGGTGGGACTCCTGGGGCCATGGAAGCTCATCTGCTGGGTGATGGGTGTCGTGAGCTCCTGAGCTATCCCAGCTGGGGCAGCTGTGCCTTGTGGGGCCGTGGGTAGTGTGACCTCGTGGGACACCAGGATTGGAGGGCCATGGTCCTCACCAGTCCCTTTCCTTCTTCCCTTCTACCCACAGGTTCCCGGGAACCTGAGTGCAGCTCAGGTGGCCGCCCAGAATGCAGTGGAGGCCGCCAAGAACCAGAAGGCTGGGCTGGGCCCTCGCTGTGAGTCCTGGGGCGAGAATGAAGGGCAGGCAGGGGCCAGGCAGGCCTCTCTCCACACACTTGTTCCTCACTTCTTCCCTTGGTCTCTCCCACAGTCTCACCCATCACCCCTCTCCAGCAAGCTGCTCCCGGAGTGGGTCCCCCCTTCAGCCAGGCCCCAGCTCCCCCACTACCCCCAGGACCCCCTGGCGCCCCCAAGCCACCACCTGCTTCCCAGCCCAGTCTGGTCTCCACCGTGGCCCCTGGCTCCGGTCTGGCTCCCACAGCGCAGCCCGGGGCACCGTCCATGGTAGGTGCCTGCACGCCTCCTGCCCCTACTCTTTCCTCCTGCTGCCCACAGCTAGGACAGTTAGAGGATGAGTCATTTGCCTTCCAGGGGGGTGTGGATCTGGTGGCCCTGGGGCCTTGGGGGTTCGTGGTGCGTGTGCTGCAGATGCCTGAGATGAGGGTCTGGGAATGGAATGGGGAGGCTCATGGCTCCAGGTGGGTCAGGGCTGTTCTGAGAAACCCAAGGAATCCCTGGGTTTGGGAGTCCGGGGCATCGCACAGCTTATGAGTCCTCGAATCCTGCAGCATCCAAGCATTTGGGGTCCTGGGGCTGGCCAAGTGCTGTTCTGGGAATGGATAAGCAGAAGAAGGGGCCTTTCCTTCTTCCTGGTTTGCCCTCACAGGATGGCCCCTGGAGGCCCCCCTCTTTCCCCATTCTCATGGCCCTCCTTCCTCCTCTCTGGCAGGCAGGCACTGTGGCCCCAGGAGGGGTGAGTGGCCCTTCCCCAGCCCAGCTAGGAGCCCCAGCCCTCGGTGGGCAGCAGTCAGTCTCCAATAAGCTTCTGGCATGGAGCGGGGTCCTCGAGTGGCAGGAGGTGAGGGGCCTGAGGGTCCACTGGGCACTTGGGACTCCCGGGGCCGTGGGGCTTGGCATGTGGGACTCATGGGTCAGATGCATGGGGTTTGCAGTGCTGGGTTTGGGGGCATTCCTTGGGCTGGACCCGTGGGATCCGGCACCAGGCCAGGAGCCCCATGGAGCAGTGGGACTTGCAATACAGAAGAGAGTCCCCATGCAAAGAACCCAGAAAAGCCTAGGATTTGGGGCCCAGAGAAGGACCCAGGCGATGTAGCACCTGGGGCACAGTGGATTGTGGGATTTAGGGGCCGGGCACGTAGCCCTAACATTTGAGGAATTGAAGGTTTGCTGGTTTGGAGGAGGGCCAGGGGCTCATGGGACTTAAACTGGGGAACATCCTGAGCTTTGGGGCCAGCAGGCTAGGACATGAGGGCTCAAGGGGACTGAGGCTTATGGCCCTTTTTACTTTGACATGCTCTTTCTCCCCCTCAGAAACCCAAACCTGCCTCAGTGGATGCCAACACCAAGCTGACACGGTCATTGCCCTGCCAGGTCTACGTGAATCATGGCGAGAACCTGTAGGTAACTGTCAGGGGTGGGGTGTGGTGGGGCTGGGGCTGGCCCCCTCCTCACACCTCTCCTGGCATCACCCCCCCAGGAAGACCGAGCAGTGGCCCCAGAAGCTGATCATGCAGCTCATCCCCCAGCAGCTGCTGGTGAGTGGTGGTGGAGGACAACCCTGCTGCCGGGCAGCCCTCACCCTACTGTCTCTTCCCTGTTCCTTGCCCTACCCCTACTCCCTGCCTCGTGTCCCCACCTCACTTGCCCACACCAACATGCCAGCTGACTTCTGTGTCTCCCGCAGACCACCCTGGGCCCTTTGTTCCGGAACTCAAGGATGGTCCAGTTCCATTTCACCAACAAGGACCTGGAGTCTCTCAAAGGCCTCTACCGCATCATGGGCAATGGCTTCGTGAGTCCAGGGCATTGGGGGCCGAGGGGCATTAACTCTTGTACTGCTTTCTGCTGACCTTTGAAGGGAATCCCAGAGTGCCTGGGCCCACGGAAGCCGTTTTTGATGGTTGGGTGGACTTCATGCTCGCCTTTCTTCTAGAGCCTTGACTTTTATTATAATCATCGTATGCACCAGATTGAGGGATATTCCACATTAAAAATGGGAGCTGGTTGTGACTGGAGCAGTTAGGAGGAAGCTGTTGATTCTGGCATGGGTTTATGGGATGTGTTCGTTTCCTGTGGCTGCGGTAACACATTACCACAAGCAGAGGGGCTCAAAACAACAGAAACGTGTTTGATCCCAGTTCTAGAGGCCAGAAGCCCAAGATCAGGGTGTCGGCAGGACCGCGCTCTCTCTAGAGGCTCAAGGGAAGGCCTCCTCATTGCCTCTTCTGGCCAGTAACCCCAGGCTGCAGGTGGCATCGCTCCGGGGTCTTCCTTGATCCTGTGGCTGTCTTCCCTCTGTGTGTGTCTCTATGTGGCATTTTCTGTATCTCTGTGTCCCTGTGCTTATAAGGACATCAATCATTTTGGATTAGGCCCCATTTTCCTGACCTCATCTTACTACAACTGCAAAGACCTTTCCAGATAGAGTCACCTTCACAGGTGCTGGAGACTGGAACCTCAGTTTAGCTTTCTGGTTTTGTTTTTTGAGACAGAGTTTCACTCTTGTCACCCAGGCTGGAATGTAGTAGTGCACTCAGTGCAGTCTTGGCTCACAGCAACTTCCGTCTCCCGGGTTCAAGCAAGTCTCCTGCCTCAGCCTCCCAAATAGCTGGGATTACAGGCATGTGCCACTATGCCTGACTAATGTCTGTATTTTTTATTAGAGACAGGGTTTCACCATGTTGGCCAGGCTGGTCTCGAACTTCTGACCTCAAGTGATCTGCCGCCTTGGCCTCCCAAAGTGCTAGGATTACCAGTGTGAGCCACCGCACCCAGCCTCAGCATAGCTTTCTGGGAGACACAGTTCACCTTGCAACTCGGGGAAGGAGCAGAGCAGTTACTTCTGTGCACCAGGCACTCCTGCACGAAAGAGGACCATAGGGATCGCCTCATGGGATCCTCACAGAACCGTGTGAAGAAGGCATTCCTGAGAGTTAGGAGTGCTTCTGGCTGCAAATAACATAGTTTTCCAAACAAATAGATAATTGGGGGCACTCAGAAAAAATTTTCTCTTATGATTCTGTGAGTCACCTGGGCTCAGTGGCCATCTCGCTTGGGGACTCTCATGGAGTTGCCATCAGATGGCAGCTGAGACTCTGGTCGTCTGAAAGCTTGACTGGGCTGGATGTTCAAAATAGGCGCTCCTCATAGGCCGGGCGTGGTGGCTCACGCTTGTAATCCTAGAACTTTGGGAGGCCGAGGTGGGCGGATCACGAGGTCAGGAAGATTGAGACCATCCTGGCTAACATGGTGAAACCCCGTCTCTACTAAAAATACAAAAAACTAGCCGGGTGTGGTGGCGGGCGCCTGTAGTCCCAGCTACTCGGGAGGCTGAGGCAGGAGAATGGCGTGAACCCGGGAGGCGGAGCTTGCAGTGAGCCAAGATTGCACCACTGCACTCCAGCCTGGGACAGAGCGAGACTCCGTCTCAAAAAACAAAACAAACAAAAACAGCTCCTCACACAGCACTGGCTGTTGGCTAGGGCTTGGCTAGGACCGGCCACCCCAGTGTCTGCACATGGCCTGTGCACATGGCCACACTGTGGCAGCTGGGTTCTGAGAGGACAGGCGTTGTAGGAGCAGGCATTTATTTTTTTGCACAGAACAGGACATCCAGGGGGAGCCAGCTATTGGGGTTGGTATCATAGGTCTGTGACATCAAGGGCAGGGCCCTGTGGTTCTCTTGACCCCTCCTTTATGGGTAGCTCCCATGGCTCCAGGCATTCCGTATGCTTTCATGAAGGAGGGGAAGGGGGCTGTGTATTTCCCTTTCTTTAAGACAGCAGAGACTTTCTCAGATTCCCGAGCAGGCCTCCCTTTCACCTCCTGGCCCAGACCTAGGCCACTGGGCAGCACCTAGTTGATGGGAGGCTGCCGGGAGCAGATATCCATGACTCTCTGGGGCTGGGACATGTCGCAGCCCCAGATGGCATTGGGAATGCAGGGGAGGAGGACACTTGGATATGGATTAGGCAGCTAGCAGTGTCTGTCTCAGGCAGGAAACTGAGGCTCAGAGCAGTCAGCTCACTTGGCCAAGGTCAGCCTCGCCTCCCTCAGGAGCCCCTGTCCTGAATGCTCCATGTGTTGCCCCCCTGGTGACCAGTGATGTTTCCTGGGTGCTTCCTGTGGGCTGAGCCTCGGGCAGGGCTCTTGCTGTGGATCGGACATCCCATAGTCACAGCGACCCTGTGATGTGGGAGCACTCCTCGTGGGGTACACTGGCCGATGCGGAGGCCTGGAGGATCTCTTGAGGCCCGGGGTCCGACACCACCGTTGATCCCAGGCCTGTGGGTACCGCGCTCTGCATCTAAGCCTCTCTGTCGCGGCTGTGACTTTCAGCAGCCCTTTAAGGAGGCAGCCGTGGCATTTAATGCCCAAGGAAACTGGGGCATCCCATGAGGAGCAGGTGATGGCCAAAGGTTGAAGAGCTGGGCTCCAGTGCTTTCTCTCCGCTTTTCCTCTCAGTGCGCAGCCAGAACCCCAGCTTGCCCTGAGTGCCTCAGTTTCTGTCTCTGGAGCAGCCCACAGCACACCTGTTCTCCTCAACTTTCTATAGCAGAAACCTCACCTCCCCTTGCCCAGGGGGCCTCTAGAATCTTCTGGAATGGGGAGGGGGTCAGGGCTGCCTTTTTTAGGGCATAAATGGTTCTGAAGAGCTGTTGTCCACCCAGGCGGGCTGCGTGCACTTCCCCCACACGGCGCCCTGTGAGGTGCGTGTGCTCATGCTCCTGTACTCGTCCAAGAAGAAGATTTTCATGGGCCTCATCCCTTACGACCAGAGCGGCTTCGTCAACGGCATCCGGCAGGTCATCACCAACCACAAGCAGGTCCAGCAGCAGAAGCTGGAGCAGCAGCAGCGAGGAGTAAGTGGTCACAGTCCCCAAACCAGCACTGCGACCCCCTCCTGCCCAGGCCCCACATGGCCCCCTGGGATCTCCAGGACCACAGACGCCCACCCTTCTCCCAATACATGGTACCCCCAAGCTACGTCCCACTCAGATTTTCTTGCAGTCTCTCTCCTTTTTCAGCACCCACATCAAAGCCTTGACACAGCTTCCTACTGGGGACCTTGGAGCGTACAGCGTCCCTCCCAGACCACTCACCCCCAAAGAGAATGTCCCTATCTCCTTACGAATTCCCCTCAGGGCACAGGTCCTCCTGCCTCAGATTCAGGACGCCACCACCCTCAGTTACTGACCTGCCCCTCTCTCCTCGTGCAGATGGGGGGACAGCAGGCACCCCCAGGGCTGGGGCCCATTCTGGAGGACCAAGCGAGGCCCTCACAGAATTTGGTGAGGACAGGGCTGGCGGAGTGGGGGCTGGGTGGGGGAGGCCCCAGAGGCTGCTCTCTGTGCCTGCAGGAGGGACGTGAGGCCCGTCTCCCTCACCCCTGTGTCTCTTCCCACCAGCTCCAGCTCCGCCCACCGCAGTCCCAGCCTCAGGGTACTGTAGGGGCCTCTGGGGCCACGGGGCAGCCCCAGCCCCAAGGTACTGCCCAGCCCCCCCCAGGTGCCCCCCAAGGCCCTCCTGGAACAGCTTCTGGCCCACCCCCTCCTGGACCCATCCTTCGGCCTCAGAACCCTGGGGCCAACCCCCAGCTGCGAAGCCTCCTCCTCAACCCGCCACCGGTGAGATGTGGGGGTGGGGTGGTGGGAGTTCCAGATCCTGGCCCTGGCGGTTCTGGTCCTGTTGCCTGGGAGGAGGGAGGTTGACTGTGGTCAGTGGGCATGAATGGAGACCCGCCCAGGGCTTTAGGCAGAAGACAGACCGCCTTCTCTCCGTCCATCCCCTACCTTTGAAGAAAAACTTCCCCTCACCACTAGCTGATGCGATCTCTGAGCAGTGTCTGTGTTGGGAGGTGGAGAGTCTCTATCAGGAGCCTCTGAGCCACTCTCTGTGTTCTCCCAGCCGCAGACCGGGGTGCCCCCACCCCAGGCCTCCCTCCACCACCTCCAGCCACCAGGGGCTCCTGCGCTGCTGCCCCCGCCACACCAGGGCCTGGGGCAGCCCCAGTTGGGGCCCCCACTCCTGCATCCACCACCTGCCCAGTCCTGGCCCGCACAACTTCCCCCACGGGCTCCACTGCCAGGTAAGGGGACCCGGGGGAGGGCAGAGGTCTGGACTGAGTGTTCCAGCAGCTCCTGGGCTAGAGCACCGAGACCAAGTGCTCCTGGGAAGTAAAGACATAGGATCCAAGAATGAGGGTTCCCCCACGGGCTGCAGAGCTCTGAGGACTCTGGGAAAGTACAGCCCATGGGTCCAAGGACCTAGTGGGTTAAGTGTGTTTCCCATGATCCTCCTGTGTGTGCTCCTGGGATTGCTGGGAAATGTGGTCTTAGGGCCAGAGAAGTAGTTTTGGAGAAGGGCTCCCAAAGGCTCATGGGAAACAGCATATTTGTAACTAGATGGGGTTAGAAGGTGCTTCTGTTGGGTCCCCCACGGGCTGCCTAGAAAACTTAGTGCCTCTGGGCCCTCCTGGGCCCAAGGGCCTACTGGGAGATGCAGTCCCTTCCCCACTGCCCCTCAGGTCAGATGCTGCTGAGCGGGGGTCCCCGAGGCCCGGTCCCCCAGCCGGGCCTGCAGCCCAGCGTCATGGAGGACGACATCCTCATGGATCTCATCTGAATCCCCAACACCCAATAAAGTTCCTTTTTAACACACGCCCCGGCTCCCGTCACTGACATCCCCCAGGACTGGGCAGGAGGAAACCCCAGGGGGCATCTCTGTCCTTGTTCTCACTTCAGCAGACATCCCTGGGGCCCTGGGTGGGTGACGCTGGGGCCTCCGCGGTGAGTCAGAGGCAGTCTGGTGTAACCTGGTTCGTGGGAGATGCAGGGACAGGCAGGCAGCGCTCAGGACTCAAGCTCTCCTGGAGGCGGCGGGGCACCATGGGAGCCTGGAAGAGGTGTCTGACCCAGCCCCAGCTCCTCAGAGTCTTGAAAGAGAATCAGCTGTCAGGCCGGGAGGGAAGGAGGTGAGGGGTGATCTGGGTGCAGAGAACAACAGAAACTTTGAATACTCAAAGACAGGAGGAAGCCTGGGACGTTGAGAGGAGCAAGTTGATGGATGCTTTTGGAGCATGAGCGTGTAGGGAGCTCATGTGTAGAGAGATGGGCAGGTGCAGAGTTTGAGGAGCTCAGATGCCAAACTGAGCAGCCCATGGTTTGTCCTGGGGACACAGGAGAACCAGGAGACTTTGAGCGGTGGGGCGGGCTTAGGCCGGCTCTGGATGTCAGAAAGAGCCCTCTCAGCTGTGGAGCGTGATGAGACCAGACAGGAGGCCAGGAAGGCTGAGGCTGGGTGGTGGGGATGCTGGGGACTGGGGTAGAGGTTGGCTCCCGGGGTCAGGCCTACGTGATGGTAGGTGGTGGGGCTCCTGGGAGAAGGAGCTGGTAGTAAGTGTACGTGGTCCAAGGGACGTCCAGGTGACAGGTGCCATGTTGGGAGCTCAGGACGTGTCCTTAGGGGACAGCGTATGTTTGGTGGTTCACGCCACAGAAGCAGACAAGATCGCACATGGAGAGAGGGTGGTCCCTGGGTCCACGTCAGAGACTGACCTTCCAGGGCTGTGGACGGGAAGACGGTGGGTCTGTCCCCAGGATGGAATATCCAGCAGGGAACAGGTTTGGGATGTGGCAAGGTGAGGGACCTAAAGGATGACCTCAGAGACGTCCTGAGGGCAGGGGATCCAGACAGGCTTGGAGCACAGGGTGGTCTCTCCTGGAGGTGGAGAGTGAGTTGTCTGTTGTCGGACTCTGAACCAGTGTTGCTGAGAGCGCGGTCCATGCCCGGACCACCAGCATCCACATCATTTTGGATGCTGGTTAACGTACAGATTCACAGGCCCCACCCCAGGAGAGAGATTGCAATCTGGTGGCCTATGGGCCATGGTGCAGATGAGTTTTGTTTGGCCTTCCCTGTGTTAGCATATGTGGCATTTTTTTCTTGAGTTAGTTATAAAAATCAGGTTAATTCACACACACACACACACAAAATCTGCAGTCTTGGCATCTTTTGACAAGTCAGAAGAATTGGCACCCCTGGGCCCGCCCTTCTGCCTGGCAACAACGGGCTGGAGCTGCCCCTCTCCATGGGGCGTGTGCTCTCCGGTTCGCCACAGTCCCCACCACTCCCTCTTGGCTCCCTCGTGAGGCAGAGAGTCACTGCCTTTGTCACGGGGCTTGCACTGTGGTTGTTCTGTGGTAGCATTCAGAGGAAAGTGAAATCTTTCTTGTACTCATGTCTCTATCACAAGCGGCAAAACGAAAGAGAGAAGGAGAGGGCCGCGTGTTTCGAGAAAAGTGGGAGCGAGCCTATTTCTTTGTGGAAGTGAAGAGCATGCCTATGTGTTTAATATGCAAACAAATCGTGTCTGTGTTCAAAGAATACAACCTGAAACGCCACTACGAATCAAAGCATAGCAAGAGCTACGACCAGTACACAGAGCAGACTCGAGATGCCATCCTCAGCGAACTGAAAAAGGGACTCAAATGTCAGTAGGGTTTGTCTTGAAAAGCGAATTAACAGAAGTGGTGCGGCAGTGGTACGCCGTTCCGGAATCACGTGAGAAGAATGACCTGGGCATTCAGACCTACAGCAGATGGCGAGTTGATAAAGGAGCAGAGTGACGTGTCCTTTACAGAAACACATGACTATTGAGACCATTATTTAAGTCTAACGGGCATTTGCGTTGCACAGTGAGTTGGAGATAACTCGGGGGATTTACAAGTCCAGTTGCTTGAAAGAGTCAAATTGATTGTGGCCTTTTCTTTCGCTGCTCATAAACTATTACCACCCAGTTAGCTTTATTTATTTGTGGTGTTAAGAAACTTGATGTGACCGAAGAAGTCTGTGGCATGGTGCCAAGGCAGGCCCAACACTGGGAAAGGACTCATTTTTTTTTGTATATTGAGAGAAAAGTTTCACATAGACTGGCCAGAGTTCTGAAGCACAACTACAGACAGCTGTCATGACAGGGGGACTTGACAGGACACCTTGAGCCAAGGTGACAGAATTTGGCAAGGACACGGAAGTCGGGTCGTTGGATCCATCATCAGGAGTTGACTTGTTCTGAGCAGCTGAACAGAACACACCGTGATGCTCTCGACACTTCCGCTCCTGGGTTTTTTTTTTTGTTTTTTTTTTTTAGACGAGTCTCGCTCTGTCGCCCAGGCTGGAGTGCAGTGGCCGGATCTCAGCTCACTGCAAGCTCCGCCTCCCAGGTTTACGCCATTCTCCTGCCTCAGCCTCCCGAGTAGCTGGGACTATAGGCGTCCACCACCTCGCCCGGCTAGTTTTTTGTATTTTTTTAGTAGAGACGGGGTTTCACCGTGTTAGCCAGGATGGTCTCGATTTCCTGACCTCGTGATCCACCCGTCTCGGCCTCCCAAAGTGCTGGGATTACAGGCTTGAGCCACCGCGCCCGGCCGCTCCTGGGCTTTAGTCACGAGTGAGTTGATGATGACTTGACCTGAGAGATTTCACAGAAGCTCTGTGACTTGGTTGTGGAAGAAATCGGAACTGTACAAGTTAATCAGCTTGGTTCATTTTAAATCAAGCAAAAGCCACAGTGGGTTCCTCTGAGAAGGTTAGTCAAAGACTTCTGGTCAAGGTTATGACCGTTCTGAACACTGAATATTTCTCCGCAAGGATGTCCACAAACAGCTACTTGAATGTAAGATGGTACGTGCTTGGTCCTGGCAAAAACGGGGAATCCACCAGCAAGGAAAAATAACGTTTACTCTTTCCTACATCACAGTTGGCTTTCAGAAATGAAAGACGTGGCCCGGACTATATTCACCTACGTCCTGGGGTGGAAGACCAAATTCCCCCAAAGGCCCTTGGAATCCAGACTCATGAGAAGGAAGAGACACTGTTCAGTTTGCCTTTGTTGGTAAATGTTTCTTGTGTGAATACAGACCGTAAATAGTAATTGAACTACGGTGCAATACGGCGCTGGTTCCTAACTACAAGTCTGTGTGAAGATGGTGAGATTCTACAACTATCTCCAGTAGTTGTCCTGAATATCCATGTTTGGGAGTACCCACGCTTGTGAACAGCTGTTTTCCGTTACGAACCTGAATCAAATTAAACATTGTTCCCAGTTTAAGGATTCAAGGCTGAATTCTAAACTGCCCATCCCCACCGTGCCACCCCAAGGCCTGACACATCTCGGTGTGGAAGGGAAGACGCCAGCCTTTTGGCTTCAACTCAAAGGCGCAAAAAGAATTATGAAAGAGAAAATTTTAATAATTAAATACTTCTATTTTTCAATTTGTATTTTTTCAATTTTGAATTTAAAAATATAAACTCCAGTATCATCCATGTTTGTATTATGTTCCATGCATTCACCATAGTTCAGTAAAGATCCGATTTGATGATATTTCTGGCCGTCGACTTTTCTTATACCTGGCTAGTTCACTCATTTATGTGACCCGCCTGGCCCCTGTAGGCATGTGAGTTTCCCATCCCTGCCCTGGAACTGTTGGATCCAGCGGGGGGAGGGCGGGGGTCTGGGAGTCGTGTGAGCAAGCTCTCTAGGCGATCCTCAGGAATGTGCGTGTGGAGCAGGAGGCACTGGTGACAGCGAAGAAGTGAAAGTGGGGGATTTCCCAGGCAGCCTGTGTAGCAGGGGTTTTTGAAAACTCAGATGGCTTCAGGGACCAGGCAGGTGATGAAAATGTGTGAAGCGGACGGGTGTAAGACAACAGGGAATGATGGGGACTGTGGCGAACTTGGAGAGTGCTTGCCCCGCCTAATGGCATTCAAATTGAAACCAAAAACACTGTGAGGACCAAACAAAATCTGCCTGTGGGTCTAATGAGGCCGCCAGGCCGCCATTTTGCGACCTCTGGAAGAAGGAGAAGACTCAAGAACAAGGACAGAACCCCAAGAAAGAGCCACGCGTAAGGGTTGGGCTGGGAGCCAGAAGCCAGGAGGAGAACCAGGCAAGTGTGGTATTCTGGAAGCTGAGTGTTTTTGAGGAGGGAGCGATCAACTCTGTCAGAAGCCGCTGAGAGGAGCAGGAAGCAGCCTTCGGTGTTTCCACCAGGGTGGCCACGTCCCCCGGCAAGGGAAACGCAGGTTTGGATCAGAAACAAATTGGTTAAAAAGAAAGGTTTCCAGTCGCCAGTTTGGCCATCTCATGGCAGTGGCGCCCTCTTGACCTTAACACTCAATTAGAGGAACCAGAGGGACTGTCGTGGCCTAATCACACTTGTTTATCGGAGTGAACCAGGGCTTGCTTATTAATAGTAGCAGACCTGTTAGGGGTGAAAGAAAATGCCCACCCACCAGCTCCAAAGAAGAATTAGGAGAAAAAGGACACCTTCTCAAAAGGGGTATTAAGAATGTATTTGTTTCAAGGTACACAAAACACTAACACATATTTTCTTACCATCTTGGCGTTTAAAAAAAAATTAACTTTTAAAATGTATTGAGTTACACATACTAGAACAGTTTCCTAAAATGAAAAGGCACTGAAATGTGTGGAATAAAAAGGAGGCCCAGGCCGGGCACAGTGGTTCACGCCTGTAATCCCAGCACTTTGGGAGGCCGAGGCAGGTGGATCACCTGAGATTGGGAGTTCAAGACCAGCCTGACCAACATGGTGAAACCCCGTCTTTACTAAAAATACAAAATTAGCTGGCCATGGTGGCACATACCTGTAGTCCCAGCTACTTGGGAGGCTGAGGCAGGAGAATCGCTTGAACTCGGGAGGCGGAGGTTGTAGTGAGCCGAGATTGCACCATTGCACTCTAGCCTGGGCAACAAGAGCAAAACTCCTTCTCAAAAAAAAGAGGAGGCCCCAGGAGTGAGGCCAGATCTAGACACATGGGACTCACCTCCCCATTTCATAGGCCAGGTGACAATAAGGCCTAAGAACTTCATGTGCGCCTTAGAACCAGCCAACACCAACGGAGCAAATCTTTTGGGAAAGTTTTTCTCTGAATGCAAGGTTCTCCTAAGGCAAGAAATAGTGAAAACCCTAGAACAGCAGGGTTTAATCCCGAGATTTGTGCTGATTAGCTCTGTGACCTCAGGCAGGTCCCTGCGCGTCTCTGAGCCTCACTTTCCCCATATGTCAAATAGTGACTACCCCAGAGGATTCTCATAAGGAATACACGATCTGGCCCAGCTCAGTCCTGGACACAGGAGAGCTGCTAGTAGCCACTGTTGTCATCTTTTGGCTGAAATTCACTCTAAGAAAGTAAAATGTGGGCAAAACTGTTTCTAGAAATGCATGCCAAGCTGGGCCTCACGCCTGTAATCCCAGCACTTTGGGAAGCCGAGGTAGGAGAATCAGTTGAGGCCAGGGTTTCGGTACCAGCCTGGCCAACATGGTGAGACCCCATTTCTATTTAAAAAATACATCCTGGCTGGGCGTGGTGGCTCACGCCTGTAATCCCAGCACTTTGGGAGGCTGAGGCAGGCAGATCACTTGAGGCCAGGAGTTTGAGATTAGCCTGGCCAACATGGTGAAAGTCTGTCTCTAGTAAAAATACAAAACTTAGTTGTGGTTACACGCACCTGTAATCCCAGCTACTTGGGAGACTGAGGCACAAGAATCGCTTAAACCCCGGAGGTGGAAGTTGCAGTGAGCCAAGATCGTACCACCGCACTCCAGCCTGAGTGACAGCAAGACTGTCTCAAAAAAAAAAAAAAAACATCCAGGCCGGGCGCGGTGGCTCAAGCCTGTAATCCCAGCACTTTGGGAGGCTGAGACGGGTGGATCACGAGGTCAGGAGATCGAGACTATCCTGGCAAACATGGTGAAACCCCGTCTCTACTAAAAAATACAAAAAACTAGCTGGGCGAGGTGGCGGCACCTGTAGTCAGCTACTCGGGAGGCTGAGGCAGGAGAATGGCGTGAACCCGGGAGGCAGAGCCTGCAGTGAGCTGAGATCCGGCCACTGCACTCCAGCCCGGGAGACAGAGCGAGACTCCGTCTCAAAAAAAAAAAAAAAGGCATCCTAACGTATAAAAATCATTTGTGTCCAGAAAGGTTATAATTGAGTGAGTGACTTGTAAATATTTTATTTTTGACCAGTTTGCTTTTGAATCACACATCATGGCTGGAGGCAAGACTGGGGATTCATGAAAATTCTTGCAAAGGAGCAGGTGGTAGGAGGTAATTGGAAAAAAAGTGACTGTTGAGGTAAAAATGCTAAAATGCCAACATATTAATAGTTGCAAACCTGTTGGGGGTGAAAGAAAATGCCCACCCACCTCCAAAGGATTAGGAGAAAAAGGACACCTTCTCAAAAGGGGTGTTAAGAATGTATTTGTTTCAAGGTACGCAAAACACTAACAAGTATTTTCTCACCATCTTGGGGTTTAAAAAAAATTAACTTTTAAAATGTATTGAGTTACACATACTAGAACAGTTTCCTAAAATGAAAAGGCACTGAAATGTGTGGAATAAAAAGTGGAAGTACCATTGGGCATGGTGGCTCATGCCTGTAATCCCAGCACTTTGGGAGGCCGAGGTGGGCGGATCATGAGGTCAGGAGTTGGAGACCAGCCTGGCCAACATGGTGAAACCTCATGTCTACTGAAAATACAAAAATCAGCCAGCGTGGTGGCAGGCGCCTGTGATCCCGGATACCCAGAAGACTGAGGCAGGTGAATCACTAGAACCCAAGAGGCAGAGGCTGCATTGAACCAAGATCGTGCCACTGCACTCCAGCCTGGGAGACAGAGCAAGACTCCGTCTCAACAACAACAAAAGTGGAATTACCCCTTCACACCTCACTCTCGCCTCTCCTGCCCAAACACACACCCTGAGCAAACCACTTACCTCCCCAGAGGCTGATGTACCAGTTCTGCATTTGGATTTACATGCATGTGGTTTTGGACACATTTATAGTTTA